ACTACAGTACCTTAACGTTTTACTGCAATTATGGCTATTCTGATTATGTCATGAGCTTCAACTTAATCCCAGAACTTCCTCAAACACGTTATATTATAATATGACGTGTTGTAAAACATGTCGCATCACTGACTATGTGGTAGTTTTAGTTTTAATGGTAGTTTTGGTTTTAGCTCCAAATTATATACTTAACAAGTTTAAACATTACATTTTATGTATATATATACACACACACACACACACACACACACACACACACACAAACTCTCTTTCTGATGGCACCCATTCACTGCAGAGGATCCGTTGGTGAACGAGTACAATTTCAGCAAATTTTCATTTTTGGATGAACTTTTAATGGTCAAAAAATGCTTAAGGAAATAATGAATCATCACAAAGTTGTTTTCCTAGATATCTTGGTCTAATCTAATAATTATATATATTTAAAATACGTTCACTTTATATATATACATTATATTACAGGGCTCTCTGGAATACTTGATTCTGATTGGTCAGTCACAGTATTTTGCATTCTGTATTTTTCCCCTCACATAATGTAAAAATTTCAGTATTTCTTGTCCATTACTATTTTTTTTCCCAAAGTAGTCTCTGTAATAAGTGGAATAATGTGCAGTCAGTGAGTCATTATTGCAGAATAAGCTTTATCGGGGTAATCAGGACCCTGATGTGAATCAGAGGTCTTATATCAGCCTAAATGGGTTTATTTATTACTTAACCTTTATTCTGAAAGAAGAGGTTGATGAAAGATCAGTGTGAAAGGGCATGGTTTTGTTGCAGTTTCCTTTGTAGTTGATGTGTAGTCTGTTTCTGGGCTGGTTTGTCCCAGCATGTATGTCCCCATGAGTTCCCATGGCATTATGAGTGTGTATAGTTTTCCCTCTGTGCTGGCATTGCTCCCTGTCACGGGACACACACAATACCAGCTTTTGTCTGTTCAGTGTGTGTGTGTGTGCGTGTATTTAGATAGGACTAAAGGGCCAGAGTTCTGTCAGCTTTTGAAACCCTAGTGCAAAAGGATGTCTGTTTTTTGTAGATTATTACAGTATATGTCCAGCTCAGGAAGGCCCAGCCAGTGTTAACTTACAATTCTGTCAGACACTGAGAATATCAATTGCCTTCATCTGCTTCAATAATTTAGTATTTAGCATATAGCGCTATCACAGGTGTGCTTTTGTGTTTGTTTTTTCTTTCATTAGTGTGTGTGTTTCCTAGTGTATAAATTTTCTGTATGCTTGTGCTCAATTTTGATTTGATTGTCAAATATGAATTTAAACGAGTTGTTTGCATTTCATTTGATTTCATTCTGGCTGTTAAAAAAAAAGGAGGTGAGCACCTGCAGGCAGTATATTGGACAGCTGTCAGGATAACTATAAACATGCTGCGTGTTTAAATGTACTGAGTAAATGCTACAATGAGAAGTGTTTTATAATTTAATATGTCTGTTCATTCTTTTGACAGAAGTAAGATTTATTGTGTAATAGGGCTGGCTAAAAAATATAGATCTTTTTTCATTTAATCATGAATATAGTAAATTTCACAAACAAACGACTTTTATGAGCCTTTTTAGTGCATCAGAAGCACAGTACATGTGACGAGTGTAGCTTGATTCCTAAAACAAGTGATTCTTATGAGCACCTAGTAGTTGTTAGTGGTCTCATGCATATGAACATGTCGAATTCCTCTCATATAACACATTTCACATGCTTATCCAGTATTTAACCCTGTCCAGTGGAATGGTGCAGGTCGGACCCCGAGGCCACCTACCTGCTAGAGGTGTAAATATTTGCGTGTACAATTTTTTTTTTTTTAAATGACAGTTTTGTTATTTAATCACAATGCAATTTGATTCTTTTTGGTTCAACAATATATTTTACACCTCTGACGTTTATGTTTTCTCATACATGGACAATTTAGCTCACCAAATACACTATTCACAGTTCTATTCAGATTGCCTCCTGCTCAGTGAGAGTTGATTTACACTCTTTTCTGTAACAGTTGTTGGTGACAGCAACATTCACACATTACATATTTAGAAAAATAGTGTTTCTTTTTAATGGACTAACTTTTTGATGATTTGTTTCTCAGGAATTAAATGTTAATGTCATCTTTTGTACCGCCGTACAAAAATTGTACCGCTTATACACTTCTGTCATTACCGTGGTGTGATTTCAGACTAATTTGCTATTTTTTATTTTCTTTTATTAAATGATCTTTTTTTTAAAATAAGTTTTCCATGTGTAAAGTTGTGTTTGTTTTAGTGAATTAGTAGCTCAAAAAAACAGTTCCAGATAGTTTCAAACTTAGGTGACTTTTGTGTAATTTTCACATACACTTTTTTTTTTTTTTTTGAATATCACTGAGCAACAGCTATGTTGCAAATCTATGAGCACTTTTCTCATCTTTTAGCATTTTCATCTTAACACCAGTGCACCAGTGGGAACTCTAACAGTAAGCTGAGTTTGGAGAGACATAATACCTTTTTGATGGACAACAGAAAACAAACACTCGTCTTCTCTGCCTACAGGCCTTCTTGCACTCACACTTTTTCTCCCCCTCTCTCCCTCTCTCTCTGGAGAGGCACAGATAGCCTTATTAGGTGATAGCGAAGGGCTAGTTGTAAAAATATTCCATCTTGTGAAATATTCCTACTCTAGATTTGACTTTCAGCATGAAAAAAATTGGAGCATTGTGTGCTGAAAGTAATGAGAATTTGGAAATATTGTGCAGCTATAACACAATCCATATGTGAAGTTTTGAGAAACACAGGGACAATTAGTTAAATATGTTAATTGAACGTTGCATCATGCAAAAGAATTGCAACTGGAATGATGTTTGGCTAAATCCAGGAAGTCTCCTCATAAGCTAACAAACTTTACAAGCTCCTTCTTCCTTTTCTCTTTTATGGCTGTGGTGACCAGTGTCTTGATCCATGTTTCATGGAGTTCTAATTGATTTTGGTTACTGGCCTATTTATATCATTTTGAATATGGGAGAGACTCTCTCCCCTTCTGGAATGTGAGTGTTTGAGCCAGAGTTTCTGCTTATGCAAGAACAACATTCTCTCTCCCGCCTGTAAGTCCGCCTAAGGGGGAAGCCAAGCCCCCCGAATCCAACAACAGCAGGCGAAGATAAAAGTGAAAAACACAGGCAGGCAGGGTGTGGTGAACACCTGAATGTAGCTATAGAGATCAGGAAATTTGTTGTTTGTTTGTTGACTTACAAAATCACAAAGGCTTCACCCGAAAGTCTTTTTAAGTTTTTGTCAAGCTTGTTTAGTAGTGGACAATTGTATATAAATGTGAAACACTTCGCACAAGTGACTTGAAAACGTTTTTTTTTTGGTTCCCCCACAGAAGTTGTGTTTGTTTAATAATGAGGATAGTTGCAGTACTGGTCAAATCCTATCATTCCTTAGAAACAAACCCAGGCAACCCCACGGGAGAGTGTAAGGGGGGAGGGGGGGTTTAATGAAGGAACATTAAAGTAAATAAAACATGGATTGTCCAAGAATGTTTGTGTGGGTCTGTCAGGCATGTTTGGTGGAAATGTTAAAGCTCTGGGAACATTTTGCCCCTGTGTCCACCACAGTCCAACCCATCCTAACTATGATGCAGGACAGATCAGGAGAACACAAGAACCCCATGGCTGGATTAACACACATTCCCTTAGATGATGACCAGACATGCCTGGACTGCTTTGCAAATGCTTAGAAAATGAAAAACAGCAAACCAAATCCCTTTCTGCAAGTAATGAGCCTGAAATAATTTGGACAAAGAGGGAAATCTCAACCGTCATACCCTCCAATCGGATTTCCCTCCAAATAAACAAGGTAGGTGCCATAGCAACACAAACAAACACACACACAAACACACACACACCATTTTTGGCCAGCTTTAACAAACAGCACTCTGTCTATGACGGCAACTGTAGAAACTACAGGGTGTTTTCACACTAGTTCATCGAAGAAATTTACCGTCCCATCTTAGTTTAAACACTCTCTTCGCACATGGAAAGTTGACTTTCTAAAAATGTGTTTCTCTAGACCCTCTCTCATTCTCTACATCATGTACTTCTGCAGTAACCACACAGCTGGGAAGAGAGAGGGGAAAATGGAAAGCCTCTCTCAGCACTCTCTGTCTTTGGAATCACTGAGTCATTCGGTTGATTGTAGGTCTTGCAGTAAACAGCAGCTAGCCAGTGTAGCATAGCACATTTCAGCACGGGTCTTCTGACAACAGGATACACATTACGGTGCACTGTAGCTGATCTCTGGACACACCTTCTATTCAAGGCTATTGTGTTTTAAATAATAGCTTTTGGCTAAGCTTCAAAACAAGCCTCCCCTATTGAGTCTCTCTCGAGCTCTCTAGCTCTTGGAATCCTACTGATTTTCTTTCTGAAATATTGGGATATCTAAAATTCTAGCTAGGTATTTGAGAGGTTAATACTTTGAGTCAAGTACAAAACTGGCAAGGACTTACAAGGAGTTGTGCTTTCAGGTGCTCAAACATCCACAAATAAAGCCATGGATTTGACCAGGTTTGACATCCCAGAAACACTCGACAGTTTGGGTAGTCTGTCTGAGCTTTTGACCCCAAAGCATTAGCCATTAGAGACAGAGATAAGAGGCGACCACCTAGTTCTTGCTTCCATTCCATGCCACCTCACAATGACCTTAAGCGACATCACACCCTCTCAAGCATTGCTTTCATCTTTACACTATGAACTTTCACCATTCTCCCCTGCTTCAGAAATGGACCTACCCTGAGGGAGGCATGTGATCTGTTCTTCAACTATGAGGTAATTTAGTCAAATGGCATTTAGATTCATTAGACTCAGCTAATATCCCTTATTGTTATGAGAGTTGGAGACAGTTAAACTGTCGATGATCACCCACACAATGCCATCATTCAGTGTCCTCACATGAGCACATCAAACACCCCACCACCAACTGCTCCCCATTACACACAATGTACATTTACCTGGAAGATGAGCACTTTGAAGTTGTTTCTTTTGATCAGCTGAGCATGATTAGCCTCCAATTTCTTCACCTGGACGGCCTGCTTATCCATCTTGTCCTTGACCTCCTTCATGTGGATGCTGACCTTGCGACTCTTCTCCAGGAGTTTGCTGACCGTGTTGGAAGTGGAAGTGTGACTTTTGGAGAGCTTGGTCATATCGTTCTGGATGCCCCTCACCGACCCCTCTATCTCAAACTGTCTCATCTCCATCTTATGCTGGTTCTCTTGCACCGTGTCCAGCATGTTCACCAGCTTATCTAGAAGTGTCAAGACAGTGATGGCATTCACTTGACCTGTTGGTGAAGCTCCATCTCTGGTGAGAGTGCTTGTAGTGCCCCTAGCCAGAGGCCCAGGGCTGCTAGGTTCTCCAATAGAGGCGTTGGTTGCGACGGTGCCCAGCTGTGAGAGGCTATGTGTGGGTGAAGACTGAGTGGGGCTGGGGCTTGGCACCACCAGCTCTTGGTTCTCATGTGTGCTGACCATGCTGCTCCTCTCTGCTTGCACTGCATCTTCTCCCATTCTGAAGCTGCTCTTAGTCTCGACGGATAACTTTACTTAAGAAAATGGTCTCGTTCTTTACCTTTCTTCACCTTTAAGTGAGCTGGTCTGGCTGTACTGAGTTCCCCTCCTAGTTGGTTTTAGTGCCACCACGTTCTTACAGCTTTGATTCTTGTTTACAGGCTTGGGAATAACTTTTCAGCTTCCAGGTTCAACGTTCCCACCCCTTTTTGAAGATAGCCTCACTCTTTCCTCTCTCTCTCTGCCTCTCCCTCCCTCTCTGGTGCGATTGGAAGAGCCGTGTAGAGGCTTCCCCACAGCTTAAAAAGCCTGTCCACACCCTATGGGGGTGGAGCTTGGTTTCCATGGAAGCTAGCCTGGCCCATTGGTGAGGGAGTTATGTGTTTGCATGTGTCAAGTGCGAGTATGTGAGTGTGTACGCTGGAACATGAGCAACTCTCTTCACATGTAGAACCTCCCCCTAACTCTCTCTGGCTCTCTAGGTTTTGTTCTGTTTATATTGAAGAGAGCAATAGAATATTAAGAGTCATGTTTGAAGGATGAGCTCATCTGTGAATAAAGAGAGAGAGAGTGAGAGAGATACAGAAAGGAAGATAAAACAAATGTGTGTGTTTTGCCTTTAAATAAAGATTTGCTAAGCAAGAGTTTTCTGCGTGGGTAGATATGCACAAGAATTTGTGTATATTTGCCTGTATTTATTTTCTAAGAGTCTTTTTTTTTCAGTTGTAGCCATTCTAAGTTTATTCTGGAAACAATGTCACACAAACAGTTCTCAGGCCGTGTGAGTGGAGTCATTTTTCCTCCCTCCAGCAGTAGCAGGAGCATGGCGAAACTTAGCAGCAGAACTGGAAAACTTTGCATTTACATTTCACTATGCAGGGAAATATTATAGACAATAAATTATTAAATCTTAAATCTTAAAAAATAGTGTGAAACCTCCTTGTCATTTTCTTGGGTGTTTGCCTCTTATACACGCAAACACAGAATGTCTTAATTGCTCCCATTTCCTTCTTTCTGCATTGTTATACGTGCCTCCATGATGTAATTTCCTCTCGTTTTTCCTTTGCAGGGTAATGGCTGTGGAAACACAGACTTCTGAGAGTGGAAAAGAGTCCATTCATGGACCTCTGACCTCTACTATGGGGATACGTTACATGCTAACACAGATTACATAACATTTTCATAGCATACAAGCACATGAATTTTGACACAAGTTCATATTGTGTTTTCTAAATGCAAAACAGTTGACAGGCATGTGTGTGCTTGTATAGCGCTAGGCTCACGCTGTAGTAAATAACATGGTGATTTAGAACCTTTCCTTAGTTAGCAAATAGTAGTTTAACATGCATTTGAATGACAGTAAAAAGAGGAATTAAGAGACAGGATGAGAGAAAGGGTGAGAGATGTAATTCTGCCTGTTAGGATTACATTAAAAGGGTGGGGATTCCTGCTTTATCAACTTTTCCCCCATTGTTCTCATTCCAGGGAACTCGCATCTTGATCTCGGGTTTTCTATGGGAATATCTCAAAACACTTGAAGGCAAATGGCTCAGGTTGCATATCTTTTAGAAACGACTTGTCGCCCCCTGGAGAAAACACTATGTAATTGCAACATCAGAGCACAAGTGCAACAAGATCAGATTGTCTGGAATACCACAGCTGCTTCCTTGGAAACTCTTACAGTGACACAAGTTCAGTACATATGAACTCCCCTTTTATGCATGGGAGTCAAAGAGTATTTATGTGTTCTTGAAGCATTTAGGAAGATACTTTGAAATCATCCCAAAATGAAATGCCAAATTGTGATGTAATTTATTAATGTGCCATTGTGCAAAAACTGGTAGCTGAGGAAGTATACAACATAAAGTTACCCAACTTATGTGTGAAGAGAGGCTATCACCAGTTGGAGTCAACAGTGTTATTAACAGTGATCTATATATCGGCTGTGAAGCCACCGGAAGTGTGGCATCTATGTACCATCTTACTATATTCTCTATTATAGATCAGTGGTTATTAACCAAATAACCCACAGAAACTTTAACAGACTTCAAATTTAAGAAATGTTCCAGGTTAATTTTTATTAGGTTAAGGTTTATTGAAAGTTTGTTTATTGAAAGCATCAAAACTAAATTTGGCCAAGAACGATGCTAGAAATGTGTACAGGAAGGTACTGGTTTGGTTCACTTTGTATTGCTGTGGCCATGACATATGAACTTGTGGAAACATGATAATATGTTGTGGCAACAATATATTATTTTGAAGCCAAGAAATGGAGATTATTAAAAAAAATTACATATTTTGGGAAAACAATTTGCCAGACAGTGTGGCATTAATACATAGCTACAATATATAATATTATATTGAATTATATTATATTGCACACTCTGTATTAATTCTGTTTTATGACTCAATGTCAGTATTTGAATAAAGAAAAAAAGTCATCCCATCCCAAAGTCTTTTTAAAATCCATTTACTGCTCATTTCTTATTTGTTTTGTTTTTTTTATTTAATATTTGTATATTATAAATGTATTGTTATATATTTTATTTCACTTAACTTTTCTGCATTATCTATTTTAATTCTTTAAAACTCTCCAGAATGCCTTACTTCATAGACTACCATACTTTTAGTGCATTACTGCAAACGTGTAGAAGTATAAATAAAATAACTTAGAAACTTAACTGTAAGAAAGGGTTAATTTGCAACCAAGGCTCTTATGTTAAATGCGTGACTGCTAACTTTTAATTGCAACTCTGCTTACTTAGGGCATAAGCAAACAAAAAGTTTGATACTCCAGCAGAAAACAATGCACACTATAGTTGGCACAAACATTTATTACGTTTATTTTGTTGTTGTTGTTTTTTTTAAAACTCTTGCTAATCCCATTCTCAACTGTCAAATAAACTGTAATAAGCATCTGTGAGTGAAAAAAACCATCCCTCTTTATAGAATGTATGCAAAACTGCCCCTATTCTTGTGTTATTCCTGATTCACCAATTGGCTATCTTGGCAGCACTATGCAAAAATTATTATTACCAGTGTTTATTATGTTTCTGTTATTATGTATTAGAGAAAATAATGCGTAGTTTAATCTGTCTGTAGACCATCAAAGCCAAGGCTACATTTACCTGTTTAATGGGAATCCACAGTTTTATTTTCAATTTAGCCATTTTTTCACGATTCTGCTCATTGGTTTTTACTGTTTGTCTATTTATTGACTGCCCCTTCTTTGCATTTTAGGATTAGGTTCGAACACCCTTCGATGTAACAAGTTTAATATTTGTGTTTCTGAAAACAGACTTTGATTTACCATCTTATCACTTTCTTCCTGGACCCTCTTTCAACTGTAGAGCTTCCTAGAGTTGTTGTACTGTAAGTGAGTTGTAAATTTTGTGCGATGTTTCTCAGCCCACACTAAAACATGATTCATATTCATTTGCATAGGATGAAGATCTGCTGTGACAAATGTGGAAAATTAAAAGGTACTTTGCATGTCCATTATGCCCTTATGTCTTATTTTGTGTGACAGTTTACTTGTTGCCCTGGTCTCTTAAAAGCCATGGCTACTTTCCACAGGTGCCAATATATGTTTCTGCCGGTGTTTTCCGCCAATGACACAAAATTCCAATTGTGTGTGTTTATTTTATTTATTTATTTTTGATTGGTTAAAGTTAACCGAGAATATCTTGTGTTTTTCCATGGGTGCTCGGGAATCTGTACCTGTGCTGCTTTAAACAGGTCATCAAGAAATAAACATACATTTTGCTGTATTTACAACATGCACTGTACCAGAACAATACTTTTGGATGTGAATGAATAAAAACATCAAAAAATTCCTGAGTGGTACGGTAAAACAAATCAACTGGAGGTCAACAGAATCATATACTAGTGTTCCAAAATTATACCTACAGCACAAATCTCATTATTGAATATTTTGTATAAATAAGTTTGCTAACAGCCATGTAAACCAAACTATGGATACATATTGAGTTTTGTAACAGAAGGTGTATAGTTGTACAGTATTTGCACAAATTGTTTATAGTTTACAGGAAATAGTTTCATGAAATGTCTAATATGCAAAGGAAAAATTTCATGTAAAGTGCATGTAGTCTATTAACAATAAGGTGTCAATATGAAAATTCCAGTATCATATTTTATATCTTTTATACCCTTTTTAGAACACAATCAATAAATAATTAAACAATTGATGCAAAAGTGCCCCTTCAAACCTTTTGACTCGATTATTTTGTTATTAATTTTATCTCTCTCTTTTGATCAAGCCCTGTGTCTAAAGGTAATCTTTGCATTATAGATCTATCATAAAATGACTTTGTTCTGTTTGACTTGGATTTATTGATTATTAACAACTTTCTATCCTTCCTCTTTTTCTCTCATTTTTTTCTCTCTTTATGACCTCGACCCCTATGATCCCTCCTTTACAGTTTTTTTTTTCTTCAAGACCAAACCCACCCCTCCCCTCAACTTATATTTACCCTAGAAGCAGACCTCCCTGCTGTCTGTGTCTGTGGAGTGTCTGCTGTACTTGTTATTGAGATTCCCTGCTGACAGCCCGACTCTGGGAAACCTATGAGAGGAAGAGATCCTGGTGTACCTGGCACTGCAATGAGGGAGGAATTCTAAGAATCTGTACTTCAAGCAAGTCATGGAAGTAATTGATTACCTTACAACCTCGAACTCGCCACAAACACACATCATTCCACAGCCGCACACAGCCCTGGTGTAGCTTATTCATAATTGTGAGAGAAAAGCGTCTGTGGTAGCCAGGTTTATCTATAAGGCTTCACACTCCTTCACAGATACAAATTTGCTCATTACATGAGGCTTGTGGCAGTCTTTCTTTTGTGGTTTGATGAGAAGAGCCTGAAAAAGTATTGTACTAAAGCCACACTTAAAATGGTCTGAATTTCATAGCATTAGATTATAAAATATGAAACAAAGTAGCCTTTATTTTAAAGAAAGATAGCACAAGCACACGTTTTAAGCAAACCTTTTCACAAAAAAATAAGTTCTCATGGTTTTAAAATATAAAGCTGACCGAGTCTCCTCGAAATGTGTTCAAAATGAAAGTCACAGCGAAAACTTTTTAAACAAATTTAAATACCAAGTTCTGTCATGAAACTCTAGATGGCGCAGGCTGATGGGTCCTTAACGTAAACTGATGATATTCTTAGCATTAAACGACTTGTCACAAGCTGATTGGTTCATATTGCATACGCAGCCAATGAGATTGCTGCTTTACATTTAAGTGGCTGGTTAGCATTCGCTTGAGCATTGCA